GCTTAACTGCCAACCTCCTGGGTAAGGACATACTTCGAGAAGCTGAGGCCTATATTACCACTGATCACAAGGGCTTTTCTGAGGAGATACTACACCAGGAAGTGTATGGACAACAGTTTAAACAAGGACAGGCCAGCCACCCTAACTATCGAGATGATCCTTATTTTGAAAAAATCAGACAAAAACATTCCCGGGTTTGCCCCCAATCCTAAGGGCCACTGCTGACCACCTGGTACCAAAATTCAATGGGTGCCTGGAAATCCAGTCTGGGTTGAGCAGTGGCCTATATCCTACCCATAAATTACAACAACTTCATATATTGGTTGAACAACAATTAGTCTTGGGGGCATGTGCAGCCTTCAACAAGTCCCTGGAATTCCCCAGTCTTCGTTATAAAAAAGTCCAATGGCTCCTGGAGGCTTTTACATGATTTAAGGAAAATAAATGAGAGGATGATACCCTTTGGGACTCCGCAAAGGGGACTCCCCTGGTTTCCAGCTATTCCCAACACACATTATTTAACTATTATTGATATTAAGGATTGTTTTTTCTGTATCCCATTACATCCAGATGATGTAGAAAAATTTGCCTTTTCCATACCTTCAATAAATTTTTGCGGGCCAGATTTAAGATTTGAATGGACCGTCCTACCCCAGGGCATGGCCAATAGCCCTCCTATTTGTCAGTATTATATGTTACATATTTTTTCTTCCTTGATTGGTCATCCTAATATATTATTCTATATTTACATGGATGATATTATTTTGGGTTGCTCTAACCCATCTGACATCCAAGATCTTACTGGCAAATGTCTTGCCATATTAGAGGCCAATAATTTTAAGGTGGCCCCTGAGAAGATTCAGACTAGTCCTCCTTTAAAGATTTTGAGTTCCAAGTTATTTCTTGATACTGTCTATCCTGTTAAACCCCAAGTTCACATTCAGGATTCTTATACCTTGCCCCAGCTCCAAAAGACATTGAGGGAAATTAATTGGCTGAGGCCCTGGATTTCTATAACTACTGAGGAATTTCCTTCTTTGTTTGACCTCCTAAAAGGTCATGATCTCTCCTCACAGATAATTCTATCTGATGATCATTTACAGATTTTAAGTAAAGTTCAACAGGCCATAGACACAGCAAACTTAAGGAGGTATGTTACTCTTTTGCCCCTCACCCTTTAGGTTTTTCCTGGGGAAACATTATGTATCACCTTCTTAGCACAAGAGGGTGAGCTCATACATTGGATTCACCTCTAGATTGGTGGTGCCCGCAGAGTCTATTCAATAACCAATCAGATTGCTGTTAAAGGCAAGGACACCTCTGTCTGGCTGTTTGGCATAGAACCTCATCTTATTGTAACTCCCTTTAAGACAACAGATTTCACCTGGCTTCACAGAAACAATAGCAGGATTGCTATGGCTCTTGAGGGGATTCTGGGTAAAGTTGATTGTCATTATGGGCTTCACAAATGGATGAGCTCCTTCTCTAGTTTACAGTGGAGGTCCCTTCCCCAACCCAACCCTGGCTTTCTTATGGTGTTTACTGATAGGGGGGCACCTGGGGGCTTCTATAGTCATTTATCCTCCCTTAGAACATGGTAAAGTCAGTCTCCCATAAAGTTGAGGGGTCAGCACAATTTAAGGAACTGTTTGCTGTTGTTCTTGCATTAGACACTATTCAAGAGTCATTTAACTTATTCTCTGACAGCCGTTGTGTTGTTAATTTGTTACTCAACCTAGTTGAGGCCCATATTAAGCTGGACTTGAATCCTATATCACCTATAATGATTCAAGCCTGCTCCCTACTCAAAGAACTAATCCCATATTTCTTCAACATCTCAGGAGTCATCAAAATTTACCAGGATTTCTTTCTGAAGGAAATAATTTGGCTGATAAATTGGCTTCTATGCCTCAGTGTAATTCTGTTACAGAAGCTAAATGTTTCCACATACTGACCCATGTTAATTGGAGTGGTCTTAAACATAAATATCCACATGTGCCAGTCAAGGACCTTAAAAAGACTGTCCAAACTTGTATGTCCTGCCAGCCTTTCCTTCAGATACCCGACCCCCCCCCAAACTAGTGGAAGCAACCCTTGAGGGCTTCGTCCTAATAATCTTTGGCAAATTGATGTTACTCATTATTCTCCATTTGGAAAGTTAAGGTATATTTTTCTCTCTCTTGATACCTTTTCGCGTACCTGCTGGGAATCAGCACATGCCAGGGAAAAAGCTAAAAATGCTACTAACCATATGCTTCAATGCTTTGCCACCCTTGGATTGCCTGATCAGATTAAGACAGATAATGGATCATGCTTTGTAAGCAGGGCCTTTATGGACTTGCTTAAGACTTGGAGCATCTCACAGTCCACAGGCATCCCACATAATCCTCGGGGTCAAGCAGTTGTGGAAAGGTATAATCAAGTTCTCAAATCTCAATTACAAAAACAAAAGGGGGAATCTATACCCCCACATGATCAATTAAAAAGGACATTATTCACCCTAAATATTTTAAATTTTTCTAAAGAAGATAAATACATGTCTCCATTTCAAAAACATTGGTCCTCATCAGTTTCCTACAGTTCCATTTGGGTCAAATGGTGGGGACCAGAACCCCTCCTCTCTGCAGGGAGAGGATTTGGATGTGTCTTCCCTCAAAATGAAAAAAGACCCATTTGGGTACCAGTGAGAGACCTAAAATATTTGCCCCAACAAAGGGACAATGCCCATCACTTCTCCAGGGAGTGCTCCACCCCTGAGAACTGTGTCTCTCTTTCCTCCCCCCCAGGAGTGAATGAAGATGTGGGTGATGCTGCTCTTCCTTGTATCACTGATGCTCATCCTGCCCAGTGATGGAGGATTTGGAAACCCACAAGATGCCAGAGTTATCCTGGCTCGCCTAATGGGGAAACCCTGTGACTGCCAGGGTGGAACATACTCGGTATCTCCCTTTAGTGGACGGGTCATACAACAGGTAGTCTATGATACCAAGATAGCAGTCAATATGATTGACACATAGGATCCCTTTTTTTCGAATTCCAATAAGTGTATATGCATAAATAAGTCCAAGATTATCCCCCAGGTTGATTGGAAGCCAGGACCCTGTCCTTGCACTGCTTTCTATCTGACAAAGCATTTGGCCTGCTATGGCATTGTCCAAATGTGCACCAGTAATTCCACTAAAAAGACTTACTGGACTGGGGTCCGAAATAGAGTGCGCTCTGCAGGTGAGAGTGGTTGGATTGTAAGAGATGGAGGGCATGCCTCTGCCAATTGCTTTGGAGCCCTAGGTGAAACTGTTTGCTGGGAACTTGCCCCCCCTATCGGTTATTCAGATGGTGGGGAGCTCAAGATCAGGTTGGGAACAAAAGTTCATAAAAAGATAGAACAACTTATTTTGGCCCAGTACCCAGAGCTCAACAATCACCCTGTTGCTCTCCCTGAAAATTGGGGTGAGCTAGCACTCAACCCCCATACTGAGTCTGAGTCGCTTCTACAAATGGTCTTTGCCTTACTAAATCAAACAACTCCCTCCCTTGCAGAGGATTGCTGGCTTTGCCTCCAATCTGGACCTCCTTGGCTGCTTGCAGTGGTCTTTAATGATGCAATTACAGATGCCCCTGCTACTATAAAAGATTGCTTGGCCACATTTCCCATCCATGTCCAGCTCCTCCCAATGTCACTTTCTGGGGCTTGCATTTGGACCCCGCCTACTACTGATAAATCCAGTATAGATGTGGGCTACATTGATCCGTCTTTCTGTAAATCAAATACAACCAAATCTAATACTCAACGCTACCCACCTTCTGGAATGGTCTTTGTCTGTGGAGGTGGGATGGAATATGACTTCCTGCCCACCAAATGGACAGGCCTTTGTGCCCCAGCCACCTTGATTCCTGGTGTGGATATTATTCCCGGGGAGGAGGCTCTTCCTCTGCCCTCTTTTGATTACTTTGCCAGGAGACCAAAGAGGGCCATACAGACGATTACTTTACTTGTTGGCTTGGGAATATCTGCAGGTATGGGCACTGGGGCTGCAGGGCTAGGCATGGCATTTGAGCTCCACAGACAGCTCTCTGTCCAATTGGTTAGTGACATAAAGGCTGTATCTAGTACTATCCTTGATCTCCAGAAGCAGCTTGATTCCCTGGATAATGTAGTCTTACAGAACCGAAGGGGATTAGACATATTAACAGCTGAAAAGGGAGGCATATACTTGTTTTTACAGGAAAAGTGCGATTTTTATGTCAATAGATCAGGAATCATTCAGGACAAGATCAAAAGGCTTCAGGAGGACTTGGGGAGGAGATGGCAGGACCTCCTGCACAACCTGCTGTGGACTGGCTTAAATGGCTTCTTACCCTATATCATCCCCTGCTTGCGCCTCCTCCTCCTCCTTATCCTCACTATTGGGCCCTGAATGATTAATAAGGTCATGTATTTTGTTCACCAACAGTTAGAGGCAGTAAAACTTCATCAGGTCAAAGTTCATTATAGGCTCACTACTCAGGAGCCAGGCTCCCTGTGACTGGCAGTCTTCATACCAGCATCTCTCCCCCACCCTCCACCTGACCAGTGATGGGCAACTTGTCAGTCAGACTGGGACTTCCTAAGACAGGTCATGGAGTGGTCCTTCAAGGAGCTGGATATATGGTACTCAGGAACGGGTAAAATTCCCAATGGGGGACCACCTAAGACAGAGGCCATGATTTCTGCCGTTCTTACAAAAACAAGAGGGGGAGATGTTGGGCCTAAGAAAGGCTTGGATGCGAGGCCCAGTGTAAGCCTCTGAGCCTGACTTGAGTTTAGGGCTCGGATGTGAGGTCCAGTGTAACCTCTTGAGCCTAGCTAGAGTTTAGAGACCTGTCTCTAACCTGTAACCTCCACATGGGGGTCACCCAGCCAGATCTGACTCAAGATTGTCCCCTGCCTAGCTACCTGCCTGCTTGGTGGAATACTATTGGCCCTTAACTCCTCACATCACATCACCCTATCCTAAGATTCCCATCCCCTACATCAGTCCTATATAAGTTCCTGCGTGTTGAAATAAATCGAGATCCTGCTTCGACAGACTCCTGACTTAGTGTGTGTTTTTTCCCAGGTAACTAATGGGGGGAGGGTCTGAGTCATTGACACTCACCATCCTCCTCAGCACCCAGGAAGAGGCCTGCTGGACCAGCCCTTCCCCTGCTCTACCTGCAGGGAGGACGCTGCAGTTCCCTGTGGAGCTGAGAAGAAAGTATATTCTTTTGTGTTTGGTTGGAGTGTTCTATAGATGTCTGTTAAACCCAATTGGGTCATAACATCTATTAGGTCCTTTGTATCCTTGTTAAGTTTCTGTATTGTGGTACTGTATAGTGGTGAGAGTGGGGTGTTGAAGTCTCCCACTACAAGTGTGTGAGGTTCTATATGTGCTTTGAGTTTTAGTAATGTTTCTTTTATGAATGTGGATGGGTTTGCATTTGGGACATAGATGTTCAGAATTGAGACTTCATCTTGGTTGATTTCTCCTGTGATGAGTATGAAGTGACCTCCTTCATCTCTTTTGACTGATTTTAGTTTAAGGTCTAATTTGTTAGATATTAGTATTGCTACCCCTGCTTGTTTCTGGTGTCCATTTGATTGGAATATCTATTCCCAACCCTTTACTCTGAAATAACGTCTGTCTTTGAAGCTGAGGTGTGTTTCTTGTATGCAGCAGAAGGATGGATTCTGTCCTCGAATCTATTCTGTAAACCTGTGTATTTTTATGGGCAAGTTAAGACAATTAATATTGAGGGAAATTAATAACCATTGATAGCTCATTCTTGTTTGTTTTGGAATGGTTGTTGTTGGTGGAATTGTATGTGGACTTCCTCCACTTTTTCTTTTGCCTGTTGGTAAAGTGGAATTATCTATTGCCTATGTTTTTCTGGTAGTAGTTAACTTCCTTGGGTTGGAATTTTCCTTCCAGAATTTCCTGTACGGCTGGGTTAGTGGATATGTATTGTTTAAGTCTGGTTTTGTCATGAAATATCTTGTTTACGCCATTTATATTGATTGAAATCTTTGCTGGGTATAGCAGTCTTGGCTGGCATCTGTGAACTCTTAATGTCGGTAGAATATCTATCCAGGACCTTCTGGCTTTCATAGTTTCCATGGAGAAGTCAGATGTAATTTTGATAGGTTTGCCTTTATATGTAACTTGGCCTTTTTCCCTAGCTGCTCTTAATATTCTTTCTTTATTCTGTATGTTTAGGGTCTTGATTATTATGCGTCGAGGGGATGTTTTTGGGTCCAATCTATTTGGTATTCTGTAGGCTTCTTGTACCTTCATTGGCATGTCTTTCTTTAGGTTAGGAAAGCTTTCTTCAATGATTTTGTTGAATGTTTTCTGGCCCTTTGAGTGAGTTTCTTCACCTTCTTCTATACCTATTATTTTTAAGTTTGGTCTTTTCACAGTGTCCCATATTTCCAGGATATTTTGTGTTAGGGATTTGCTGGACTTAAACTTTTCCTTGGTTGATGAGTCTAATTCTCCTTGTGTATCTTCAACACCTGAGATTCTCTGCTCCATTTCATGTATTCTGTTGGTTAGGCTTACATCTGTAGTACCTGATTGTTTTCCCAGCTTTTCTATTTCCAGGATTTCTTCAGACTGTGTTTTTTTATTGTTTCTATTTCAGATTTCAGCCCTTGTACTGTTTGAATTGTTTCTTGCCATTTTTGATTTGTCTTTTGCTCAATTTCTTGCATTTTTTGGATTGTTTTTTCTTCCATCTCTTTAAGTGTTTTTCTCATATCCTCTTTGAGGGCCTCTATCATTTCCATGAAGTTGTTTTTTATGTGATTCTCTTCTAGTTCATTTGTAATGGGGTGTTCCAGTCTTGTTGCTGTAGGGACTCTGGACTCTGGTGGTGTCATATTGGCTTTTCTGTTGCTCTTTGTGGTTTTATATTGTCTCCTTCCCATCTGTTCTTGCAGTGGGTTCTAGAGGGTGCCTGTTCCTCTACTGATGGGTGTGGGACCAGGGTTCTCCTCTGTTGGGTGTCGGCAAGCCCACTGTTCTGATACTTCTCCACTTCCTGGACTCGTGGGCGGAGAAATGGACTAGGAAGCTGGGGTGCCTTGGAACTCACTAAGATGGATGGGAGCCCCAGTGGTTTACCCCAGGCACAGGAATATAGTCTGGAGATAGGCCCTGTTAGTCTTTGACATGTGGGTGGAACAGGAGACTAGGATGCTAGGGTGAGTTTGCTCCTGCCTCCGGGATGAAGGCCACTGTGGCAGCCCCCGGGCACAGGCAGCCAATCTAGTCCTATTTCTGTGGGTGGAGCAGGGAACTATGGTCCCTTGGCTTCTGCCATCTCTGCCGGGATGGAATCCTCAGTGGCAGAGCCCAGGCCCAGGCAGGCAGACTGGAAATGAGCCCTGGTTACCGGGACCCATGGTTGGGGCAGTAGACTAGGGAGCATTGGCTCCTGCCACTGAGATGGAAGACGCCACAGTAGACCCCATGCACTGACAGCCAGTCTCGGATGGATGATATTTATAATAGTAATATTGGTTACTACAGAAAAGTTGTGTCTTCATAGGGGGACTAACTTACTTTGACTGCCAAGGAAATTGGAGTACATTAGGGCAAAGAATTCTGTAAAGTACTATCATCTCAATTAGAAGTTGAGAGCAAATTTAAAAAAAATTGAAAGTTGCAGGATGGTGGTGGCACATGCTTTTAATACCAGCACTCAGGAGTCCGAGGCAGGTAGATCTCTGAGAGTTCAAGGTCAGCCTGTTCCACAGAATGGGTTCCAGGACAGTCTGGGCCACACAGAGAAAACCTGTACCTAGAAAAAAAAATTCCCAAAACAAATAAGCAAAAAAAAAAAAAAAGAAGTCGAATGCTAAAGGAGACTATGTTAATATGATGAAATAAAAGTATTAACAGGAAGCTTTGTGAGATCTGTTGTGTTCAGGCTTGTCACACAAATGTATATAGAATGACAAGTTTATCTTTAAATATTAATTCTTTCAAGTTCTATAAGGATGCAGTGTTTTAGTTTGTAGAATATATATAAAACATTGGCTTGAAAAAAAACCAATTTTATTGTCACTTTGGGAACCAAAAGTTACTTTTCGTAATATAAGATGCGTCCTGGTTATTAGTTTGTAAATAATCTGCAGTGTAGCAACTTCCATGCTCATGGATGTGTATCATAATCAATGCTTAATTGAAGTTGAATATCTTTTACAAAAAAATCAAACAAAAACAAAAGAATGCAGTAATGATGATTATTAATAATATATATTTTAAAGTCTTTTCTTTTTACTCACTTTTAATTTTTACATGCACAAAATTAATTTTCCTTTTTTAATATTCAAAAAATATTTATTTATAAAAAATACAATGGGATAAGTTTATGCTGAGAAATGCAGCAATAAATTCAATTGAGGGAAACAGAGAACTTCTACAGTGTTACATTAGTACAAATGAAATCTGCAGGGATACCACCCAAACCTACATGTTTGTAGCCATTTTTGTACAAATGCCCTTATAAGCGCCACTCGGAAAAGACCTTGTTAGCTTAACGAAGAGAATGAATACACATAAAATCACAAATGCATATTGATCATGACTTTATTTAGAACTCAGTAAGCAGTACTGCAGAAAAACATGCACATGTCAGGTTCTAAATGGGGCATCTTAGATTTAGTTGGCAAAGACCATATTTAGCAAATCAAACATTTTAGTCTTCCATGTACCAGTCAGATACACACTAAGTTGTAAAAAAGAAAATCCTATTGTTTGAAAATACTAGTTTAAGTGTAAGGCTGTAAAAAATGCATAGATCTTCAATAAAAGAATTGGCTGTCCTTTCACAGCATTCCTTTTTACTTCCTACGCAAGTTATTGGTTATGCTGTAGGGCTTAACTGTTACAGCACTAAAAGGCAACTATTTAAGGAGGAGGCAGAAAAAGGAAAAAGGAATGTATGTAAGATATTTTTAAAGGTACGATAACCATAATAATGTTTTAGAAAGACTAGAATTATTCAAGGCTAGCTTGGGTCCCTCTCAATAAAAACAATGGACTAAATACTGCAATCCTGTGTGTGACTAATAATCAATGCCCTGGTCATCGCCATATTGGTATTCTCGGGGGTAGTCATCTGGGTACTTGCCATGGTACTCAATGGGGTATTCTGCCTGATAATCACTATTATTTATTTCTGACCCATTTGTTTCTGTGCCCTGGCTTCCATTGTGAATGACAGGTTCTGTGGTGGCAGCACAGTACTTAGGATCATACACTTGCTGCCCAAGCCCATACACACTCATTCTTTTTTGGGAAGCAACTTTGTTGGTACCCATCTGTAGAGAAATATTCGAGTTGTCTGCCGACTCTAATGTCAGCTTCTGGTACATGTCTCTCCTGGTACC